CCCCGCTTCACACCCTAATGGTGCCTTCCCTTTCCCTGATCTTTTTTTTCCATTCACTTTTCTGTCTCACTGATCTCTTTCTTCTTCCACCCCCTGCTTGTTCACTCTGCTCGTTGTTCCCCTACCTGTTCATCAGACAACAGGAATCTCAATCTCTCCTTCTCTTGTTACTTGACATAGAGCCTTACCTCAAGAACATCCATGCCACCAGATCTTTGCAGGCAATGCTCTTCTTATGAATTGCCATGCTGAGGGACACCAGAAAAGCATCTGCCAGAAACTGCACTTTCTTGGTGGTGGCACCAGCCCTTTGGAATGGGTTCCCAGTGGAACTGGGCCCGGCCTCTTCCCTCTCCACCTTCAAGAGGTTGCTTAAAACACAGCCTCCTAAAGCAGCTTTTACTAGCAACCTCGGACGACTTTGTTAACTGTGCCCAACCATTTGACCACTCTCGCTGCCCTTGATGTGTCTGCCAGAAACTGCACCTTCTTGGTGGTGGCACCAGCCCTTTGGAATGGGTTCCCAGTGGAACTGGGCCCGGCCTCTTCCCTCTCCACCTTCAAGAGGTTGCTTAAAACACAGCCTCCTAAAGCAGCTTTTACTAGCAACCTCGGACGACTTTGTTAACTGTGCCCAACCATTTGACCACTCTCGCTGCCCTTGATGTGCTGTTTATGCTTGTTTTAGTTTTCTTATTTTCAATTATTACTTACTGCTTTGAGTGTATTTGCTTTATTGTTGTTTATCACCCAGAGTATTGTCTCACATTAATCAGGTACTGTAGGTTTAAAGTGGAATAAATAAATACATGTTTGAACTGTTTCAAGAGGTTTAGAAAGATAAGCACTATATGGAGCTGCCTGGGGGGTGTTCCTGGGGAGAAACAATTTTCCCAGGTTGCCTCCAATTTTATCTGTAGGTCAGATGAGGGCAGACCTGGCATCTATCAGCTGAGGATTATACTGCAGACAGATTTTAATTAACAAACTAAGCCATCCGTGCCAAGTTTCAGCTGTCTAGGTTTCACAGGTGGGGATAGACATGGGCTCTCTCTTATTATTTTGGATAAATAGAAGATAGATCCAGGGGTTCATAGGACTGGGTTGTAAAAACAATTTGCTTCTGGACTTTAGGAAATAGCCTCATACATTTTTTTGTTTGTTATGTGTTGTCAAGTTGCCCCTAAATTATGGCAAGCCTGTGAATGAGCAATCTCTAAAAGGTCCTGTCCTCAACTGCCCTGCTCAGCTCTTGTAAACTCAACCCTATGGTTTCCTTTAGGGAGTCAGTCCATCTTGTATTTGATCTTCCTCTTTTCCTGCTGCCTTCTGCCTTTCCTAGCATTGCTGTCTTTTCCAGAGAATCCTGTCTTTTCATGATGTGTCCAAAGTACAGGACAGCCTCAGTCTCCACATTTTTGCCGCCAGAGTTTGTTCAGGCTTGATTTGATCTATGACCCACTCTTTCATTTTTCTGGCAGTCCAGGGTATTCATAAAGCATTCCTCCAGCATCACGTTTCAGACATTTTTTTTCCTGTCAGCTTTCCTAACTGTCCACCTTTCACTCCCATACAGAGTGAGATCTGAAATAAGTGTGAATGGTCTTGGTCTCCAGTGACACATCCTTACACTTGATGTTCTTTTCTAATTCCTTCATTGTTGTTCTTCCGAGTTTCAGTCTTCTGATTTCTTGGCTGCAGTTTCCATTTGGATTGATGATTCGACCAAAGTATATAAAATCTCTTAACTCTTTGAATACATTTTTTAGTATCAGATAGAACATTCAAATATTGCTCACCTTCTTGGTAAAAAGGACATGTAATAAGGTAAGTGGCACAATCCTACGTATTTAGGTCCTGTGAGTGGTGGGTGTCTATTAAATGTGCATGTTTGTAGCCTAATCCCACTTAAATGCAGTGTCACTTCTTTCCACATAAACTGTGGGCTGCGAATTAATCCCTTCGAACATGTTGCCCCTTAACTACCCTTTGAGGCATTTTTCTCATGGCAGGGCTATCCTGGTGCCTTGTTAACTATCATACAATTATCTCCAAAAGTAGAATAATTATTTCCTTTGTCAAAAGAGTGAAAGGCCCAGGGCTTGCAACAGATACTTGTTTGGACAACGATTCCCAAGAAACAAACTGGCTGGGGGATTCTGGGAGCTTTAGTTCAACGTACTTGCAATTTTCCCAGGCTTTGATTTACATCCTTTATGCCTAATGCATGACTGCACCAAATGTCGTGCCAGCCAAAATCGGGGAAAGTATATTGCAAATCCCTCAGCGAATGAGCGTCTAGGAGGCAACTCAACAGCCAGCTTTTTTATCCTCCTCTTCTGTGCTGCCGCTTCCATTCTCGGTAGCACAAATAGGGATATGCTTTTGTGGTGTGGGAAGAAGGAGTTTTTGCTTCTAAACTGATGTTCAGAGTCTTGGTGCAATGACTTTTGAACTGCACAGCTACTGCAGGCAGTCAAGTGACAGCTTGCTCTTCCCAATGCCGAGTTTTGAAAGACGTTCCGCACCAAAGTAGCTGGCATAAAAAGCCTCCCTGCAGTATTGCATAAGGCATGGTGCTCTCCACAATGACAGCGATGGAATCAACTTCCTTTGAAATTGCACCACTGTTAGGGGAAGGACAGTAGATCACTTGGAGTGAGGCTTCTTTGTACACATCTGATTGTGGTGGGCTTTTTGTGCAGGGAGTCATCTTAATTTGTTTTAATCCAGCAGGGGTTTCAATTTGTTGCAGTCAGAGTGACATCACTTTTGTCTACTTTCTGCCAATGTGATTGTCCAATCTGATGCAGAGCGGCACTCACAGGGGTGTCAGTTCTCCACAATCAACCTTTTCTCCATGAACTTTTTTTAAAGGTTTCAACTCAGTGCTGGAACAGAGTTTTGCAACAGCAATTAGGGAAACTAAATGAAAGAGAAAGAGAGGTGGAAATTGCCAGTGAACACATTGTTAGCACCTTAAGGTAGCTTCTGATATTGCAGCTCAGAACAAAAGAAACTCTCTGCCTCTGCCCTGCAAATGGTCATCTGGACAACTACAGTGATTCACCTGGGAAAATCCAATTTGATAAACTGCAAATACACAACAGATGAAACCGTATTTCCCTTGCTGTGTACTCACATACTAAGATCACTCGTCTGTCTGCAGTGCAGGGAATGCCTATAGACCAAATTGATGAGTAGCACAGTCTCAATGGGTGAGTGTTCGTGAATCACTTTCTCAGTCTTGGTTCTGCATCTTGGTTCTGCATCTATAATCTGTAATTTAGCTATCCTCATTACCTTCAGACAGCCCATAAAAGACAGCACAAAGCATGCTGGTACATGGTGATTGCTCCAACCCCTTCTCAAGGCAGTGCAGATGTGCAAGCTTTTGCAGCCTCTGGAAAAAGTGCTGCAATCTGTTGTATAACTACCATAACTAGGAAATCTCTAAATTTTAATTTTTGTCTGGAATCTGCTGGAATTACATCTAATGGTCTATGAGAGGTCACACTATTATTGTTAGCTCTTGTTATCTGTTAGTCTTTAAGTTGCTCTTGGACACTTTGGTATATTTCTATACCGAATGTTAATCTGATCCTAACCCCAGTAATTTCATTTAGGATCACACCCTAATACAATATATGTACACTGAGAACTAGAAAGCATTTCTGTCTGCAATACTTCCCAGATCCTGCAGCCTGTTATTTATTTATTTAGAAATAATTCATACTGGGTTCAGTAGGGTTCACTCTGAGAAAAGTACGCACTGATCTTAGTCTATGAGCAAATTTAAGCAACAAGTCAGTAACAGCACCTCAACAATTGTATTTTTCATTGTAAAGAATCCCAGATTCAAACTTTGGCACCTTCATATACTTCCATATAAAATACAAATGCAAAAATAGGCAATACTATTATAAAGCTCTAAAAATCATCATATCATACGTAGACTTTCATGGATGAATGACACTTCATCAGGCTTGTACCAGCATGAAGATCTTCAAGTCCAAAGTGCTACTTGAGGGGGAATTTCCACCTACCCATCTGACAAACTATTTGCATGGTGCTCAAGAATGCTTACCTGGCATATACTGAAACAAACATGCCAAGAAACTTTTGAAACTGCCTGCAGAAGATGAAATATGTTAGCACGGAAAGCCTGCAAAGCTTGAACGTTCCACCCATCCAGAATGGCATCACACATCCTTCCCATTCATCTCTGGTATCGCCTGCTTCTGCAGTTCTATTGATACAAGGGCAGTTTCCCATCATGTTCTTCCTGGATCTAGCACACAACTTTACTGAAAGTGCTGAAGGCCCCTACCCCCCACCCTTCGCCTCTACACAGGACCACAGTTCCGCAGGGCCCTTCCAAGGAGCAGGAAACCCATATGCCACAATTTTTTAACAATCCTTTACCATTGGCCTTGCTGGGCAGGCCTGATGGGAGCTGTAGACGAACGCATCTGGAGGGCCAAAGGTTGCTCACCCCTGCCACACACACCAAGGAGTGAGTCCTTTGAACTTGGGAGCTTAATTCTGAGTAGACACGTCTGAGTAGGTCACTGCCAGTCTGCCATACAGATCTTGAGCTTAATTCTGAGTAGACACGTCTAGGTCACTGCCAGTCTGCCATACAGATCTGCACTGTAAAGCCTCAGGAAAAAGAGATTAGACTATTCATTTACAAGAAAACTGGTCTATTGAATCGATCAGTCCGCCATACACTACAGAGAGCTTCAGCGCCTTCGGGCTGTTTCTTCCCAACCTCCCCGCCATGACGTCACAGTCGCAGTTGCCGTCCGAACCTTCCGCTCTCCCAGAATGGCGTCACGCAATCTCCCCATTCATCTCTGGAGCGCGACGTCCCTCATTCACCTTCCCTCTCGATCACACCAAGCGACCAGGAAGCCACGCCCTGCTCGCTTCGCCATTGGCTGGCTGTCCGCAAGCGGGGCGGGGCCTTGCAACGTGATTTCGCGGATCCCCGGAGTCTAAGGGGAAGGAGCGGGAATGGGCGGGGAGGAAAGGAGGAGCTTCAAGCGCCGGGTGCCCGGATGTGAGCTGGCCGGCCTCAAGCTAAGCCGAGAAGGAGCTGGACTTGGAGCAAGAGGCGAGGAAGGGAGGCTGCGGAGGGGCGGGGCCCATGGAGGGAGAGCGGGGGCCTCTGAGGGTAAGGGGGAGCGTGGGAATGCGGGTGGGAAAGAGGGCAACGGACACGGGAGGGGCAGGGAGCCTAGCCTAAGGTTGGCGGGAGGGGGGGTCAGGTTAGGGACTCTTCTTTAAGGTGGAGGCTAGGAGGGGGGAGTACCTTGGCATTTGTCCCGCCGGACCTGAGGGCAGGTAATTCATGGGGGGGGGGAGAAGGTTCCCCCCAATGGAAGAGCTTCAGAGACCCTTGGCCTGGAAGCCCCGGACGTGTGCGGTGGAAAGGGGCGAGCATTCTGCACGTTCTCAGGAGCACTGCCTTGATGATGTCACTCCACCTCTTCCATGCCTCAGCCCTGGGACTGGAAGAAGAAGAAGAAGGGAAAAAAACAACACCTAGTTTTTACGGCTACGACTCTAGTCCCCGCGTTTTACACCCTAGAATAGGAGGAGAGGGGGGAAGGGTGGGATGAAAGGCAGGTGCTTCCTTTTCATTCCTGCCATTTTGCTTCTCCTCCTGAGCCTCAAAATAGTCCTTCTGGTTTCACAACAACTCTGTGAGGTGGGTTAAGGGAGGGGAGAGAAGAGAAGAGAATGTCCGGGGTGACCAGTGTTTGCTGGTGAATTTCATGGCCCGGTGGGTTTTTTTGGGGGGGGGGTTGCAAATGAACCTAATGGTTTTATTCCCATGCTTTGTATTCTGGCCACTACCTCACAGTGGCTAGGATGTTGGGTTTGCTTTGAGCCACCTGACCCCGCCACAACAGTATCTTCTCATGGAATCTGGGACTACAATTCCCATCATCCTTAGCTAGCTAAGGTATCAGTGCCGGCTACAATTGAAGATATCCTTATCTGGAGGGCACAGTGTTGAGAAGGCCGCTGTAGGTTGTGGAGTCATTATGGCTGATTGCAGGGGAAGACAATACTGTACAGGGATTGTCGGGAGGGATATTGAAGGTGGATCAGGAAGTGCTTTGGTCTCTGTAATCATTTAACTGAGATGCCCAGAGTGTCTTGGGGCTGGGTAACATTTCAGTTTAAGATGACAGATGAGTTAAAGAAGGCAAAGGAAGTAAAGAAGTAAGTAGACAGGGTGTTAAATTTGAATTGGGAAGAGTGGATTAAAATCTTTACTCTGCCATGAAGGTCATTTGAGTGGCTTTGACATGTGGCCCCAGTGTAACCTACCTCACAAGAGTGTGTGTATCTGATTGATTTCTGACGTGTTCTATTCCCTTTTCCATCAAGAAGGTCTAAAGGGGCTACTAATAATGTGGTTGTTGGAGAGGAGCTTATGAATTTCCAGAAAGGTACAAAACTGAGGGCTAGATCAAATCAAGCTTGAACTCTTGACAGAACCTGAAACCATTCAACAGATTATTTGACTTTGGATGTATCATGAGAAAGCAAGACCCAGTGGAAAAAAAGAGTAATGCTAGGAAAAGTGGAAGATCATAAGAAAAAAGGAAGTCTAAACATGGAGTGGTTTGGCTCAATAAAGGAAGCCATGAGCTTTCATTTGCAAGACTTAAACAGACCTGTTAACAGTAGGATGTTCTGGAGATCTTTAATTCAGAAGGTTACTACGAAATCAGGTAGGACTTGACAGCACATAACAACAACAATAATTGCAATTTTTAAAAAAGAGAGTAGTTCACAAAAAGTTTAGCACTGTCTGAAATTCTGCAAGTTATGCTACATAAGGCTGATGATGGATCGCCTGCACAGATTTTTTAGAAATCCAACTTTTCTGAAATCCGTAGTTCCCAAGGCTCACAGAGAATCTCATTTTGTCATGGGGAGACCATTGGAAGCTACAGGAAGTCTATTTCTAAGAACTGACACTTGATATATATATATATAATCTCTGTGATTTTTAAAAATTATAGCTCTCTCCCTCTTCTGTAGTTCCCAATGGCTTGTCCACCATGAAAGAGATTAATTTGGAGCCTTGGGAATTTTAGTGATGGTGGTGGTGTATTGGAAATGTTTTATTTCCGAAAAATGGCCCCAGTTGATGACATCGTTAGTCTTACACGGTGTAAGTTATAGAACAGGCTTTCAGACACTGGGTCACTGTTATGAGGGAGAAAGAGAACCTGGATAACCCTGAAACTACCATCCCCACATAATATGCTTCAGAGGTATTGGATTGCAACATCCATCATCTCTCGGCAGGGCCATGCTGTGGGAATTGTAGGACATTTGGAGACTGTTGCAAGGGAAGGGTTGGAGCCCAGTGCCCTAATGGAGTGTCAGGTGGGAGTCTGCTCCCCAAGGTATCTATGAAGTGGGGAATTGAGTTGTGAAGCAAATAACTGAGTCATGCAAGTTTATATTTTTGGCCTTTTATTCTGCGAAGCAAGGGTGGTCAAGGTGTGGTTGTAACAGCTATAATCCCTCCTCATTGTCTGTGATGGTTAGAACTGGTGGGAGTTGCAGGCCAAAAATTTCTTGAGGGCCACAGCTGCTCGCCGCTGTTGTCTAGGGAGCATTAACATGGCTTAGTGCTAAACAGAGGAATTCAGTTTGCGTCAGTGACTGAAGCAACTGGGCAAAAACTGGTGCTTTTATGCTGTAAACCTCGGGACTGTTGGGGTCTGAATATCTTTGCTGTCCTGACTTTTCTGATTCAGAAGCTGCTTCTCTCTAGAGGGTAAGTTTCCTGACCAAATGTAAGGGTCACCCTGCTTTTAATATGTCAAAGCTTGGTATTCCTAGATTGTCCTGGTCTTCTCTTATAGCATCTGCTTCATAGTATAGATATATTTTTTTAAAATTGTGGACTTCTTCCACAGGTAGATCATTACAGCCATAATGGATGATTTAAACCTGCACTACCGATTTCTCAACTGGAGGAGGAGAATCAGAGAGATCCGAGAAGTACGCGCGGTTCGTTATCGAGAGAGATTCAAACATATCCTTGTTGATGGAGACATATTAAGGTGATTCATTGTAGTGAAGAACTGGGGTTCTTAAAGGGACCTCAGTGGAACTTTTAATCAAAAGTTTAAAATAAGCATGCTTTCCAGTCTATGGAAACCCAAACTTAAACCCCTTTCCCCTATTGTATGAATACAGTACTATTCTGTATCTAACTTTCAGGGTATTTAGAACTTTTGTGTTTGTTTCAGAAACAGTGCTTAATCCTTGTGTATACTTTTTGATAAGATTTATGGAATGAAGTGACAAATCTGTGCAATGCATTTCAGACTCACACATACATGTCAGGTTGTGCATATGTACATTTATTCTGTAACTGGGATGCCTCTATCTCTAATGGTGCGCACATACATGTCAGGTTGTGCATATGTACCTATAACTGGGATGCCTCTATCTCTAATGGTGCCAGGGTTGTCACAAAGCTGGAATGCTTATGAAGGAATTGGGACGTGTGACAAAATACACTTTTAGCAGTAGTCTGAAGAATACCACTCCCCTGGAGGATAAGAGAACAGACACTGCCCATCCCAGGTTTATACTATCTGGGATAAGGAAAATGATTAACCTGTTCCTAGTTCATCAACTCCCCCCCTTCCTTATTTGATTAACAAATTGAAGGTTAAGTTGAATGCAGGACTGATTAATCCTGTTGGTTACTTGTAAGTGTACACACCCTTGAAAACCAAACATCGAGGTTCTTTGTATCCTGCTATAGTATCTCAGCAATTCCGTCCTGAAGCTCTCTCTGGCCAGCTTAATGTCATGGGGGAAAAAAGTGACAATGGTGTGGTACCTGGCGGGAGACAAGTTCAGGAGGCTTGAATATTCCACAGTGGCCAGATCTCCTGGTCATTCTCTTCCTTGTTTATTCTTCCATATAAATTTGTTAGCTGGTGTGGATGGAAATTAGATAACCTGACTTTGAATCTTTTCTGCAGCTACCATGGAAACTCTGGGGAGGTTGGATGCTATGTTGCTCGTCACCCACTGACCAAAGATGACAATTATTTTGAGGTAACTGTCTTGACTCTCTGTTGTTTCTGAATCCTTCTTTGGAAGTGGTTTGTAGTGGGGGGGGTGTGTCTCTCAAAATGCTGTCATCAGGGGCTCTCCTTGACTGAGACATTTTGTTCCTTGGGCCAGTCTTTTTCTTTTGGGTGGCAGAGAGAAGAGTTGGAATTAATTTGTGGAAATGGGAGGAAATCACGTTGTAGCTGAGTGCTAAGGAATCTTCCTAAACATGGCACCCATTAGCAAACGGATGGGCTCCCTTGGATGGGAGACTTCTTCACTGAAGCTATGTAAGGATGGTTGTCTGTTGTAGGTACTCGAGTTATAAAATTCCTGCATGAAGCAAGGGGTTGGGGTATAGGATTACGAGGGGGTGCTGATAAGTATTGAGCCTTTCCCATAAAAAAATGAACTAGGAAGCTGTAACTGCCACACTGTTCTACATATTCCCCCCAGGAAGTCAATGCACTTGCAATATCTGTCCTGGAGCTTCTTAAGTCCCTGCAAATAAAATTATTCCGACTGCTGGTGTAACCACTCATTAGTAGCATTAGTTGCCTCCAGAACATTCCCAAATCATTGTCCCTTTAGGTGTTTTTTGAGTTTGGGGAACAGATAATAGTTAGAAGGAGCCAGGTCAGGATAATAGGGTGGATGGGGCATCACTTGAGAGCCCAAGGACGTCAGTTTTGCCATTGTTTCACCTGTAGTGTGTGATGCGGCGTTGTCATGCAACAGGATGACACCTTTGGAGAGCTTTCCTCGACATTTTTCCTTGATGTCTTGCCTCAACTTCGTCAATAAAACACAGTAGTATTTTGCATTGATGGTTGAACCCTGTTGGAGGTAGTCCACCAGCAGAACTCCCTTCTTATCCCAAAAAACTGTTGCCATTTGTTTTTGCACCGACCTTTGCACTCGGAACTTCTTTGGCCTGGGGAACCACTGTGCCTCCATTCCTTAGACTGTTCCTTTGTCTCAGGATCATAACAGTAGATCCATGTCTCATCACCAGTTACCAGTTTGCCCTGGAAATCTGACTCACTTCTTGCAAAATGTTCCAAAAAAGCCATCAATGACTCCACACGTTTCCTCTTTTGTTCAGTTGTCAAAAAGTTTGGGGATCCACTTTGCTGCCAGCTTTCTCATTTTCAAGTCATTGTGGATAATGGTACCAACTCTCTCACGTGATATTCTCAGATATATAGCAATACTTTATTCGGTGGTCCTCCATGATCATGTCATGGATGGCTTTCACATTTGCAGGCACAGAGA